TTTCTTTTTATGTCTGGTAATTTTGTCTGAAGTTTATTTTGTCTGATAATATACTAATATATACATATATTAGTAAAACCCTTCAAGCTTTCTTATGGTTGTTGTTTGCATGATACAGTTTTTTTTCATTCTTATACTCCCAACCTTTTTGCATTGTTGAATCCAAAGTGTGATTTCTGTAGACAGCATATAGTTGGATTTTTTTTAAACACTTATCCAGTTTGACAGTCTGAGCATTTAATTTGAGCATTTAGTCTGTTAACATTTAATGTAGTTGTTGATTGGTTTTAGGTCTACAATTTTATTTTCTGCTTGTCCTTTATGTTTTTTATTCCTTTTCTTCCTGTCCGACCCTATTTTGGATTATTTGACTTTTTTTTAGAATTCCGTTTTAATTTACCTATTGGCTTTTTAGTTATACCTCTTCATTTTTAAGAAGTCACTTCTTTGAAGATTGCACTAAATGCCATTAAAGTTTAATGGTTTGCTTAGAATTACTGTTACTTCATATAAATGTAGAACCTTGAACTTTCTCTTTCTTCAGTTGAAATTGTCATAATGTATCCACATCTAAATACATTATAAGACTATTTTTGCTTTGTCCAGTCATGCATGTTCTAAATATATTAAGAAGAAAAAAGGTAGTTTATACATTTGCAGAAGTATTTTTTTGTTTCTGAAGCTCTTTATTCTTTTCTAATGTGTGAGTTTGATCTAGTGCCATTTCTCTTTAGCCTAGAGAATTTTGTCATTTCCAGTAGTTCAGATTGGCTGTGGCAGATTTTTTTAAAAAAATCTGACAGTGAACTGGGTTCACCATTTTTGAAGGATATTTTTACTTGATATAGATTTCTGGGTTGACAGTTTCATTATTGTCGTCATCTTTTAGCACTTTAGATGTGCATAAAATTGTGTTTCCACCATTTTATGGCCTCCGTAATTTCAAATGAGAATTCTGTTGTCATTTGAATCTTTGTTTTCCTGAATGTTGTGTGTGATTTTTTTCTAGCTGATTTCAGGATTTTTTCTTGCTGTTGTTTTGCTTTTCAAGTTTGACTGGCTGTAATTTTCTTCATGGTTACCTTGCTTGGAATTCACTGAGATTCTTGAATCTGTAAATTTATATCTTTAGTCAAATTTGGGACCTTTTTGGTTGTTCAAATTTTTTTCTCTCTTTTCTCTATTTGTCTGTGAAAGTATAATTATACATATATTAGATTTTTGATGTTCTTTTTTAGCAATCGTTGAATTAAGTTTATCTTTTAAGCTTAATTCTCTGTTATTTGCATAGGATAATCTCTGTTGTTCTATTATTCTGTTGTTCTAAATTACCAGATAGCCTGGAAGAATGCACAGGAAAGAGGCAGTTTCATTCTTCCAGGCTATCTGGTAATTTATTCCAGATTTTTTTTTTATTCTCAAATGTCCACTTGGTTCTTTTGCTTTTGTAGTTTTTATTTCTCTGCTGTGTTTTCTTATTTTTTCATTCATTGTAAATTTCTTTACCTTAATGTCATTTTATTATAATAGCTGCTTTAAAGTTCTAATCTATAAATCTAACATTCAGATAATTTAAGCAGTTGAAGAAAGAATATAGCATTATAAGAACTGTGAAGGATTATATTTAAAGAAGCCAGAGGGAGATGTAGTAGTCAACAGTGTTAAGTGTTAGGAAGGTTAATTAAAGATCTTTTTGATTGGATTATTAACAAATTATTGATCACAATAAAAGCACTTTCAAGTGATAGAATTAGACAGAAGATTGTAGTATCTTATAATGTGAATGGCAAATGAAATAATTACAGGGAATATAGAGTACTTGTTTGAGGTGCTTACTGAGAAAGAAAGAAAAGAGGTAAATAGAAGGGGAGGCAGGGTAAAATAAGATTTGGTAAGTATGTGGAATAACAAAAACTGTATTTATTTTGGTTGAGGGGAACAGCCAATATGTTGGTAGACGTTGAAGATAAAGATTCATAAGAAGGTAGAAAATTGAGGTCAGAGGATTAAGACCATCCTCACTAACATGATGAAAACCCATCTTTACTAAAATTACAAAAAATTAGCTGGGTGTGGTGGCACATGCCTGTAGTCTCAGCTACTCAGGAGGCTGAGACAGGAGAATCGCTTGAACCCAGGAGATGGAGGTTGCAGTGAGCTGAGATCATGTCACTGCACTCTAGCCTGGGCAACAGAGCAAGACTCCATCTCAAAAAAAAAAAAAAAAAAAAAAAAAGGGTAGAAAGGATGGAATTCAAATCCTAGAAGAAAGGACATTTCTTCCCAACCTCCACGTCTTTGCTTCTCTCTGCTATTTACTGGGAGAAGGAATGCAAGATTGTCAAGGATTTCAGTGCAGGACTATGTCGAATTTGGCTGTTATTAGTAAAATATTATCTTTGTTAACTAATTACTTTGCTTCATTTTAATGAGGAAAAATGTAGGTTCTGAGAAGTCCATAGAATGAGAGGAAAGATTGAGGGTTACTATAAATGTCGGACTAGCTATGGGCTATGACGGGGCGGATTGTGATGGATATGAACTCCAAGGTAAGTGAAAGGAGTAGTTTTGTGTTCCCAAGTGAGGTTGGAATTTGTTAATTTTATGGTACTAATTATCTTAAGTTGGGAGAAGAAATTCTTGTGGTGTTATTTTTACCCTGATGTAGGAGTAGGGAACTCAGCTTTTTGGGATTCACTTCTTTATTAGGGTTTGTGGTGGGAAAGTTGGTGGGTGCGGGTGTACTTGGAATCCAAGCTAAGTATGGAGGGGACTGATACCGTGGGAAAACAGTGCTACCTTGCACTGGATAAGAAGTTTCAACAAAGGTGACAGTGAGGTTTATATAGTGTTTATAAAGGAAAGGGGAATAGAAATGTTAGGAGGTTATGGTCCATAAGTGGAAGATTAGAGGTTAAGATACCAGAGGCAGAGAAGTTTAAGGTCCTGAGAATGGACATTCAGAAGTTTGATGAATTGGAGCACAGAGGGAGGGATTTTGTTATGAGGTCAAGAAACTATGGAACTAGGTTTTTGAATGAATTTTCCACACTGACATTGAAGTCTCCCAAGGTCATGGCAGAATTTGGAATAGAGTAGAAAACTGGTAGTCTAAACACCGATTTTTCATTTAGTGTAAGGTGTAAACAAAACCAAAACAGTGGTGAACATTAACAAAGGGAGGCTGCACTGTACTGTCTTCAAAGGAAGAGTTTTTTCCCCTTCATTGGAGGTGGAAATGTAATGACTTGTTAGTAGTGATAATAATATTGAAAAATAATTTGGCTTCAATATTCAATCAGGGGCCTTTAAAATATTACATCAAGGGTACATTAGCGATTTGAAACCATGTTTTATTTTATCTTACAACTCATTATTTTTTGGTGGACGCAGCAGGGCTGGAGAAAAAGTGGATAGGTTGCCTTGTCAAAGGAATGATATACGTTTTAAAAAGGAGAAATTTAATTTTACTACCATTAATGACTTTTTTTTCTAGGTAAATTTTATATTCTTTTAAGCATTAGCAATGTGGTCACAAGGAATTGGTGAACATTGTTTTAGGTCTTCATATCACTTATAGGAGTTTCTGTTTTGAAAGATGCATTATTTCTGTCAGTTTAATGAAGTCCATTAACTGAACCTGAGATGATGCATGATAGCATGAGATTGTTATTTTAAGATAAATATGACATGTACTCTCCAGCATATTTATTTTTTAGCTAGTCATAGGTAGTTGTTATAAATAATATTATTCTATATCTTTTCTGTAGTACATTTTCCCCTCTCTTTATTTACACCTGATTTAGAGTAACTTAATTTTCAAGTGATGTCAGACTCATGAAGTTGAACAGGATTTGCTCAGAGCAAAAGTATGATGTTCTAAAGGCTTAGCCTGAGTTTGTTTTTCTCCCATCTGTATTGATAATTTTCCTTTAATCAGGCCTCACTGTTTATTGTTCTACTCTTAAATTCCATAGACTTTGGTGTCAGTCCTTTGAATTTCATTGTGGAATATGTACTGTATTGAGAGTGGCTTGTATTCTATTGTTTAAATCTCAAAATATGAAATAAACGGCACTGTCATTAAAAGAATTTCTGGCATTAGTATTCAGGTTTGACATGCTAAAAGAATGATCCCTGTGACTCTTGTATAAGTACATTAAATGCTGGAAGACTGTAAGTTTTGACTTCAGAAACACGTGGATCATCTGGTCTTTTCACTTATTTGCTCAGCAACTTGTTCTCCTTTCAGAACTTAAATTTTTAGATCTGGAAAAGAATAGTTTTTCCCCCCAGAGGGCTAAAGTGAGTTATAAATGAGATAACACAGGTAAAGCACATGGAATCGTAAATATTAGTTCTTTTTCTTAATGTTGGCCTAGGATGTACTTTTATTCTCCTGTTAATCAAAGAAGAAGAATTATGAAGAAGCTCTAGAACTTTCACCTAATAGAAATAATTTATGCTTTTTTTTTTTTTTAACTCATGCTAAGGAGAGAAAAGGATCATTTGGGTGATCTGGTCTCCAGATTGTTTCAGAAGTAGCTTTTCCTTTGTTTTGATTATTTTTGTATGATACAGAATTTTAAAATAGTATTAATGTAATGAAAACATAGGAATATGGTAGTAGGTTTTTGTTTTCACTCATTTTGATGAATAGTTTTCTAGTTCTACTCATGAAGATGAGGTAAGACTCCTACCTTACCCCCAGTTCTGGCACCTGTACTATATTATTGATTTTAAGATTTTAAATGGATGAATAGGGAATCACCTAGTTCATGACTGATGTGATGAAATGTGAAGAAGGTCATGTTAACTGAAATCTCAAAGTCCTCATAGGATAGAATTGGCAACATCAGAGGGAAGAACATCTACGAACCAAGTTAGAGTGTTTACTGGACCAGTGGAAACTAGTTGAATCCATATTAGCTATATGCATCAAAACTGTGCATACTTTTAAACATTGATGCTTTAGAAAAAAATTGTTTTCTACTTTTCAGAAAAAACGAGGAGAGAAATGACAGCCAAAGGTTCTACAGGAATGGAAATTCTGCTGTCAACATTAGAGGTAAGTCAGTGACATACTTTTATTATGTAACTAATACCAAGCAATACTGAAGAAGAAAAAGCCTATGTGTGTGTATAAATACACACAGACAAACATACACATACATGTGTATATACATGTATGTGTACATGTATACATGTAACAATTTTTATTTTAGAGATAAAGCCAGTGAATGGAAATTCATTTTTTGTTTTTTAAAATACTATTTGGAACGGTAGTATAAATATTCTAATATGTATTAGGTGACTATTGAAGTATATTTTCCTTATATGATTATAATGATAACTGTAAATTATAATCCTAACATGCCATTCTAGTTGGTAATAGAAAATAAAGCATTAGCTGGAAATAAATCTTCAGCTTAAAATAAATGGTTGAAGATGATCATCTATTGTTTCAGCTGATATACATTTGTGATTTTACTACACATATTGGTTAACTATATTATATTGATGATAGCTGAATTTTTATGCCAGTGTAAAAGTTTTGTGGGGACTAACAGGATGTATTCCGAATCAGGATTCTGTATTTTATTCAGTTGCAATGTTAAGAACAAGAAATGAGTTCATGTTCTTCAATAGGAAGTCTTAGCATCATGAAGATGTCATTTCTCCCTAGATTTATCTCTTACTTTAGAGTCTCAATAGAAGTTACCAATGGTTTTGTTTTAAAGTCCAAATGGGGAGATATTATCAGCAAAATATAAAGCACATTTCTGAGAAAGAAGATACGTGAGAAGGGACCATCCCCACTAAATATCAAAGAACATTAGAAATCTTCAGTAATTAAAATAGTTTGGAAATTATGCATGAGTAGAAGATTGACTACCACTATGGCATAATAGAATAGAAAATCCAAAAATAAAATGCATATGGGAATTTAGTACTATTTAATAAAAGTAGTATTTCAGATCAATGAGGAATAGAGTGATTGGAAGCTATTTGGAAAAGTGATTGGAAGCTATTGGAAAACATTGAATCCTGACTTCCTGCATCCCATACCCAAAGAAATTCCATACAAAGCAAAGATTTAAGCATGGAAAATGAAATTGTAATATTAGAGAAAGAGAGAGAAATTTAAAAATAATCTTATAACAAAGAAGACTTGTTAAGTACGAGAAAATAGAAACTATAAAAGATTGATAGAGTCAACTATATTAACAAAAGGATGTGGAGAAAAACACCATGGATGCTTGGAAAACTGAGGAAAAGTATTTTGGCTTATATAATTTATTTGACATGTGAAAAATTTCTTCAGTTAGGAAGGAAAAAAAAAATAACCTCAAAAACCATGTAAAGGCTATGAGCAGTTCTCAGAAAAACACAGATGTCACTTGAGATTGAGCATTACTCTTAATAAGATAAATAAAACCGAAGTACATTGTTGAAGCATTTTCACTTATTAGATCGGTTGTCCAAACTTGGAGAAATAGTTTGCAGATGGGAATGTAAATTATTTCATAGAGAGTAATTTGGTAATATCTATTAAAATAAAGGCCCATATTGTTTGACCTTGAAATTATAGGAATTTACCTTACTTATACAGATGTACTTTACTACATATAAATATATAAACTTAGTCAAATTTGAAACGTTTAAAAGCAAGATATTAAAAGCAACCTAAATATCTCATGGGTAGGTGACTGGTTACATAAACGATGATATAGCCATATAATGGAATATATCCTATAGCCCTCAAAAAGAATAAAGAAGCTCTTTATCTATTAATATATAAAATACCAACATGCAAAATAGTTGGGCAATACCATTTGGAGAAGTAAATCTGTATGCACATGTATGTTTACATGGATTTCTTTTATGTGTGCATATTATCTTTGGCAGGATGCACAAGAAATTGATAATGTGATTGCCTTCTGAGAGGGCAGCTAGGTGATTGAGTAGTCACCAGACATATATTGTAGTGCCATTTACATTTTGGTTCATTTATTATCTATTTGGTAGAAAAATGAGGAATTCAAATGACAAATTGATTCTTGTAATAATGTTGATATTATGTAATAACTCAAAATGATTTATAAATATTCTTAAAGGCAGAAGGAAACAAACTGACATGATAAGAGAATAGTGAAAACCTGAATACATTTGTTCCTAGAGAAATTGGAAAGGTCATTTATAAAATATGGGTAGTTCCCAATGGATACAAAAGTTTGGGAATCAAAAGTTTACAATGTTTTAATAAAATAAACTGTTTATTTCAGAACACTAAAGATCTTCAAACTACACTTAATATCTTAAGCATTCTTGTTGAGCTGGTATCAGCTGGTAAGTTTTTGTTTCTTTGGTCTAATTTCTGTTTCTGAACAGTGATCAACAATGTATCATATTCACTTTATTTGGAATTTTCTGATACTCTGATAGAGGCTATTCTGAGTATTGGAATTTAGAAACTGAAATGTCATACTTTGTTGTTGTTGCTTTGTTTCTGTTATCTTTTCAAGTATCCTCAGACAATCCCATAGCCATAAATTTAACAGCCTTGAACCTAGAACTTCAACATGATGTGTGTTTACTCTTTGTATGCTATTTTCTAATTAAATAAGTGAGATTAAACAAAATATGTTGATGGTATTTGTTTGATTTTATTGATTGACTGATTGATTGAGACAGAGTTTTGCTCTTGTAGCCCAGGCTGGAGTGCAGTGTTGCGATCTCTGCTCACTGCCACTTCTGCCTCCTGGATTCAAGAGATTCTCCTGCTTGAAACTCCCAAGTAGCTGGGATTACAGGTATGCCACCACACCTGGCTAACTTTTGTATTTTTAGTAGAGACGGGGTTTCACCATGTTGGCCAGGCTGGTCTTGAACTCCTGACCTCAGGTGGATCTGCCTGCCTCAGCCTCCCTAAGTGCTGTTATTACAGACCTGAGCCACTGCGCCCAGCCATATTTGTTAGATTTTGGAAGTCATCAGTTTTAAGCATTTCTTGAATGCTAACAAGTTGTGATACCTAATATGGGAGGATTTGTTTTTAAAATTTTTTTTATTATTTATAGGTGGAGGTCGAAGAGTGAGTTTTTTAGTCACCAAAGGTGGTTCACAAATATTGTTGCAGTTACTTATGAATGCCAGCAAAGAATCTCCCCCACATGAAGAGTTAATGGTACAGATTCATTCTATTCTTGCAAAGATTGGACCAAAAGGTAAGGGATTTCATTTGTATGAGTATAGAATCTAGAACTAATTTTGTAACATTGGTTCTCTCACCTTGTAACTACTCAGTTTTTAAAAATGTTATTTATTTTAAATTTCTATGGATACATAATAATTGTACATGTTTATGGGGGTACTTGTGATATTTCGATACAAATGTATAATGTGTAATGATCAAATCTGGGTACATAGGGTATCCATTACCTCAAACACTCATTATTTCTTTGTGTTGGGATCATTCCAAGTCTTTTCGTTTTTGAAATATATAATATTTTGAAATATTATAATAAATTTTGAAATTATTATTGTAAGCTATTATTGCCCTCTTATATTACCAAGCACTAAATGTTATTCCTTCTACTGAAATGTATTTTGGTATCCATTAACAAACTCCTCTTCACCTCCTGCTCCCCATTACCTTTGCCAGCCTCTGAAAACCACTATTCTGTTCACTGACTTTGTGAGATCAATTGTTTTAGTTTCCATATATGAAAGAGAACATTGATATTTATCTTTCCCTGCCTGTCTTAATTCAGTTAATGTAATGTCCTCCAGTTCCATCCATGTTACTGCAAATGACAGGATTTCATTATTTTTTATGGTTGAATAATATTCTATTATGTAAATAAACCACATTTTCTTTATACATTCATTCATTGATAGACACCTAGGTGGATTCCATATCTTGGCTGTTGTGAATAGTGCTGCAGTAAACATGGGAATGCAGATATTCTTCAGTATACTGATTTCCTTTTGTTTGGATATATACCCAGCAGTAGGATTGCTAGATCATCTGGTAATTCTATTTTTAGTTTTTTGGGGAAATCCCATACTGTTTTCCATAGTGGCTGTACTAATTTAGATTCCTGCAAACAGTGTATGAGTGTTCCCCTTGCCTCTCATCCTCACCAGCATTTGTTATTTTCTGTCTTCTTGATAACAGCTGTTTTAACTAGGATGAAATGACATCTCATTACGGTTTTGATTTGCATTTCCCTAATGATTAGTAATGTTGAGCATTTTTATCTATACTCATTACCCATTTATATGTTTTCTTTTGAGAATATTTATCTCAAAAGATAAATATATTCTTTTGAGATCTTTTGCCCATTTAATTTTTTTCCTTTTTAACTCTTGATTAATTCGAATTCCTTTTATATTCTGGTCATTAATCTCTTGTCTGATGAATAGTCTGTATTTTCTCCCATTCTGTAGGTTATCTCTTCACTTTGTTGATTGTTTCCTTTGCTGTTCCAAAGCTTTTTAGCTTGATGTAATCACATTTGTCAGTTTTGTTCTGGTTACCTATGCTTTCAAGGTCTTACTAACTAAATTTTTGCCCAGACCAATGTCTGGAAGCATTTCTCTAATGTTTTCTTCTGGAGAGTGCTTAATTTTTAAAATCTAAAATGCTATACCTTTTTCTTAGACTTAGAAAAGAAATGCTTTTTTATTATAGTCAACTAGTGACCTGTAAGAACTGAGGATCCAAAATTTATGAGGAATTCTATTGCATGTGGTAGAAAAAAGAAAAATTTTGGTCAAGTGTGTCTTGGGGTATGTGTGTGTCGCTCAAGTGTGTTTGTAAAGCATACATGCAATATGGATATTGTTGAGGCTAGAAGGAAGAAGTATGGATGGGAATATTTTAAAGAACATGGAGGTAAAATATATCATTGCTTTCTTTAATAGTGATATTTGTGCTGCATAGTGTGAATGTTGAGGAAACTTACAATCTTAGTTAAGACAAAAATAGAAAAATTATGAGACTAGTTATTATAACAGTAAGACACAAAATATTAAAAAATGCAAATTGAGGAAAATAGGATATAAAATAAAGGAAGAAGCTGATTGAGGTTAGGTTAACTAAAGAAGGCATCCTTTGACTAGAACTCAAGTTCGGTTACAGTTGTCTACTTGCATAAAGATTAAAGTAGTTCCCTAAGTTGTTAGAATTGTGTTTTAAGAGTTTCGCCTTTGCCTGTGGCATACATATGACTTTTAAACTAGAGTATTTGGCTAAAATGCATATTGGAAAAAATGAGGATGTATGTGTACATAGTTTGTGTATTTATTAATGTATGTATTTCTCGCATATCTTTATGTATTGAGTAAGTAATTAACTAGTAGTTTTTATAGGTGATGTTTTAAAGAAAGGAACGAACTCTGAGGTGACTTTAATTTACCGGGTATATTAGGAGCCTTAAGACTTAAGCATGTATTCAGTTTATTTGAGGAATATGTTAACTGTCTCTTAATTTCTTTAGATCTTGTATTAAGATTTAAAGGCTTTCTTTTGAGATTTTTGTGGAAAATGAAAATGAAAAAATAAGAAAACCATAATTTGGCAGAAAATTAGTTTTTAAACCCTGCCCTTATTTATTGATGAATATTGTTATGCTTCCTTTTCTAATTAGTTAAGGTTTATAGTAGACATTGGAGACATAAAAGGTGGCAGGGTAGATAGGGGTTGAAAAATTTAAATAATTTGAAGTTTTCTACTTTTCATGAAATTAAGATATTGATTTTTAAAATATTTCTCATTCTTTAATATACCTTTTAAGTTTTAGGTCATCTTTATTTCGTTTTGTATATTCTTTTCAATTTGGGCTATTTCCTTTACCATTTGTCCTAGTTTTTCATTTTTATGTCATTCAAGGACGTTATATGATAATTCTATCCTTTTTATTTTTCTAGTGAGGTAAAATAATTTTCCTTCAGGAATATTGAATTCTTTTCTCTGTTTGCCTGTCCTATTTACTTTAAGTCTTTTTAAAAATTCATTTTAATTTTTATGTAGTAAAGGAGTATAAGTGCAGATTTCTTACAGACATATATAGTGGTAAAGTCTGGGCATTTAATGTACCTATAAACTGAGTAGTGAACATTGAGGCTAACAGGTAATTTTTCAGCCTTCACTCCTAACCCCCCTGCCACCTTTTGTATCTCCAAAGTCTACTATAAATCTTAACATTCTTAAGTTCTTATTTAAAATTTTTTTTTTTTACTTTTTTAATTTCTTTATGAGGATAAAAGTCAAGAACATCTTTTCTTCCCTTTCTGTGTTAAAAATTACTCCCCTTTAGAAATTTATTTGTAATATTTACTGGATTATTTTTTGCATAAGCTGTTCATTTTTAAAATTATTTTTTTTACAAGTCAGAAAAGAATATGGTTCGTATTAAGTAAGTTAGTACTTACTTAATAATGTAATAGACATTTAGATTTTATTCTTCTTAACTCCGTGATGGTGTTCCTGGGAAGTGTGTTGAACATGTAGTGGAGCAGTTCAGTTTTTTTTTAAATGACAGTCTTAGTGTTGGGTTATGGCCTCCATCCTCCTGCCCTCTCCCCCTGTCTGTTTCTTAGTACGTTCTTTCAAGTAAAAAAAAAAAAAAAAATTTCAAAAGTAATGTTTTAAAATAAAAAGGATATGTTATTTTAAAAACCATACAAAAAAGGATTATAATTTTATTCTTTTCAGACCAACTTTATACTTCCTAATATTAATTCATAATATAAATTTAAAATTTATATCACCGATTTATAATATGATTGTTTCATTCAAAGCTTACATGTGGGCCAGGCACCGTGGCTCACACTTGTAATCTCAGCACTTTGGGAGGTTGAGGTGGGTGGATCACTTGAGGTCAGGAGTTTGAGAGCAGCCTGGCCAACATGGTGAAAGCCCGTCTCTAATAAAAATCCAAAAATTAGCCAGGCATGATGGCAGATGCCTGTAATCCCAGCTATTTATTGCACATGGGAGGCAGAGACAGGTGAATCGCTTGAGCTATTTATTTAAAATGCACTTGGGAGGTGGAGGTTGCAGTCAACTGAGATGGGGCCACTGCATTCCAGCCTGGATGACAGAACGAGACTCTGTATCAAAAAGAAAAAAAGTTACATGTGAATAAATTGTCTTTTTTTTAAACAGATAAAAAATTTGGAGTAAAAGCTAGAATTAATGGGGCTCTGAATATAACCCTCAATTTGGTTAAGCAGAATTTACAGAATCATCGCTTGGTTCTACCTTGCCTTCAGCTTCTACGAGTATATTCTGCCAACTGTGAGTATTTGTGTGGCTTTTAGTTAACCCAGTGTTATAAAGTTACCCCAAATGAGAATTTTAAAGTATCCTAATTCTATAAACCTCTGAAATTTGTGAAAAAGGAAAGAGAAGATTTAATATGGCTCATTTTAACTCTTGACTTCAACCACAACAAAAGTGATATGAGGTAAGAAGGTAAGTTGATGAAAACTTGAACATTTTTACTAATTTTCTCAATTTATAAAGGATAGGAGTGAGGAGGATGGGTAGGCAGCCTGTGGAAAAGATGTGGAGGAGTATCAGGATATTGGCAGCTGCAAAAACTCCTATGCCTCTTTGGACTTTCACAGATGAGAGGAAAGCTGAGAAGGAAGGGATGCAGTAGGGTAGTCACCTGGAGCTAATTCCCTTCAGCAATCAATAGGGAAGTAGCAGAACTGAAAATAACTAGTATGGGATCCTCTGAGAAAGCTAGAGAGAAGAGGGATCACAGAGAGAGAGAGACTCAGATAAAATGTCTCCAAAACACACACACTCACTATATGAGAATCTACACCATGAGGTATGGATTTTCTTTCTATTCTCTGATTGTGGAATTGAAGTGGTTAATGAAAGAAGCTAAGATTGAATTGCAGAATATATGTTATTGCAGAATATCATTGCAAAATAATTATAGAGTACTAGATATGTATGTATACCATATATATACATATGTATAATATGTAAACATATGTAAGCTTATGTATATGTCTCTGTGTTATATATCAATACCTTGAAAATATGGCTCAAGGTGTGCTCTAAGGAAAACAGCTTAGAACACTTAAATAACATGTAATTTAAAAAAAACATAAGGAAATGAGTGAATTAGATATCTAACCAAAGAGGTTAAGAATAGAGAAGTACACACCAGGAAAGTCAGGAAATGAAATAGTAAAGGGAAAATGAAAAATATGCATTAGAAAATAGAAAAGTAGGTGATTTAAAAAATAAAACAGTATTGGGTTAAAAATAGGCTGGTACAGTGGCACATGCCTGTAATCCCAGCACTTTGGAGGCTAGGCTGAAGGGCTGCTTGAGGCCAGGAGTTTGCAACCAGTCGGGCAGCATAGTGAGATGTCATTTCTATAAAAAAATGGAAAAAATTGGGTGGTTGTGGTGATGTGTGCCTGCAGTTTGAGCTACTCAGGAGGCTAAGACTGGAAGATCTCTTGAGTCCAGGAGGTCGAGGTTCCAGCGAGTCATGACTCCACCACTGCACTCCAGCTTGGGCAGCACAGCAAGACCCTGTTTCAAAAACAACAAAGCAACAAAAACTCCCAAATGTAAAAATAAAAGAGCTAAACCACCAAATATTCCAATCAAGGTAAAAGGAATACAGTATAGACATGAAATTAGAAGGGATAATGGAGTAATAAACAGATACAGAGAAAATTAAGATCATCCTACAAAACATTAGAGCTACATTTTTGGTGGCATTTCATTGGATTAACCAATAGAAGGCTAGCAAATGGCTTATCTATAATCTAAAAATTTTTTGTTAAACAACTTTCTTTTAGAGACAGGGTCTTGCTATACACCCCAGGCTGGCCTTGAACTCCTGGCCTCAAGTAATTCTCTCACTTCAGCCTCCCAAGCAGCTGGGACTACAGGCACATGCCTCTGTGCCTGGTTCTATAATATATTTAGTAATATTTGTTGAGAATTAAAAATGATTTCGCATCTTTTTCTCCCCTTCTCAGCTGTGAATTCAGTATCCTTAGGGAAAAATGGAGTCGTGGAACTGATGTTTAAAATCATCGGACCATTTAGTAAGAAGAATTCCAGTCTTATAAAGTGAGTAAATGTTTTGAATATAAATATAGGTATAGCCTTTGTTACTCTGGGCCTCATTATCTTGAAATGTACAAAGAGCAGGTTGAATTAAATTATATTCAGGGTTATTTCATTTCTTAAATAATGATTTTATCATGATAAAGATTTTCTTTAGTTTAAAATTTAATCTTCACAAATACATCAAAATTAGTTTTAAATTCATTGAATGTAATGTTTATAGTAACTTAGACTGAACATTTCTAGATACTGTAAAAGGAAAAAAGATTATCTATATTTATTCAGAAACATTTATTGAGTGCCTACTATATTCCCCACCCAATTTTACAATCTTGTAATGGCTGCTTCCTTCTTACAAATACCTGAACAATCTTAAATTGATATACTTCTATTTTGTCAAATTCACATCGTTCTTTTTCCCTCATCCTTAGATGTGTGTGTGTATATATACATATGTGTGTATGTGTGTATTTTATTCATTCCTAGGCCTTTCAGCCTCAGAAAATAAAAGCCATGTCTTGTTATTTGGTCTTAAGCCATATTAGAGGTCATTCTTTAAAAATTTTTTGGTGTGAAATTTTTAAAACATACATAAAATAGAGTTTATATTGAACTAATTATATAGAATTATATTAATTACTTACTGTGTTTAACAATTCTGAACATTCCACCATTTTTGTTTCATTTATTTCCACTCCACACTTGTTTGTTTTTCCTGAGATACTTTCAAGAAATCTCAGGTGTTACCATATATATTATATATAAATATATAAATGTGTGTGTGTTTCTGTAAGCAGATCCTAGATAGTTTCTCTAGGATTATTTTCTTTGACTACTATCATTTATTTTCTAAATACCTCAGTATATAATTCTACTAAATAAGGACTTAAAAAATAACCAGTATACTACCATCATAGCCAACAAAATTATTAATTTCTTTTTTTTTTGCGATGGAGTCTCACTCTGTTGCCCAGGCTGTTATACAGTGGCATTATCACGGCTCACTACAGCCTCAAATTCTTAGGCTCAAGTGATCCTCCCACCCCATCCTCTTGAAACGTTCTTAATGTAATCTAAAATCTAGCCTGTGTTTGGTTTTCTCCAGTTGTCTCAAAATAGTCCGTTTTTAGTTGGTTTGTTTAAATAAGAATCCAAACAAAGTACATACATTTTCCTCATTAATATTTAGGACATTTCTGTACCTAGAAAAAGGTATAGAAGAGAATAGTATAATGAACTCTGATGTACCTGTTACTCAGTTTTACTATGAAAAATCTGTCATTTTTGTCTCGTTTTTCTGTTTTTATTTTTTCCTAGAATATTTTAAAGCAAATTTCAGCGATTATATTTGATCTGTAAATTCTTTAATATGATCCCTATCAATTACAGATCTTTTTTCCTAGAGTTGTCTTTTGTGTGCCCCACAATATTAATGGTAATTCCTTAATATCTGATATTTTCTGAATATCTAAGAAATGCCTTTTTTTTAAACAGTTGGCTTGCTTAAGGGTTTAAATTAAGTCTATACATTGTATTTGATTGATATGTCTCATAATCTTTTAAAATCAAAAGTCTCCCTATTCTTTGGTTTTGTTTTGTTTTGTTTGTTGAAGGACTTGGGTGATAGGTCTTTTTAAAAATGTTCCACACTCTAGATTACAATGACTGTAGCCTGGAGTTATTTAACATATGAGTATAGTCCTTACATTTTCTGTAGACTGATAAAACTGTGGCTTGATTAGATTTTGGCATTTTGTTCTTTGTTTTTGTTTTTTTTTGGTCAAAAATATTTCATAGGTGGACCTGGGTACTTTGTTTTGTGTCACTTAAGCTCATTGAGTTTAGGTGATCCATCCATTAGAAATGTCTCCATTCACTTTTCATGTAGTGATTGAGCAGTCATTCATGACATTGCCTATATCTGTTATTTCATTAGGGATTGGAAAATATTCACATCGAATTTTCTTATTTTTCTTCCTGTGTTTATTAGCTGTGAATCTTTTGTAATGAAGAACTTGTCACATAAACTGTTTGATTAAATTTTACTATTAAACAAATAGGGTTCAGGACATTTCTAGTGTCTTCACCCTTTCTTAATAAGGGACAAATATTTTAAAATATTTTGGGAGCTTACTTGCTCATATAATTACTTATTAAATATTATTTGGTAGGATGACATCATAGTTACCTATGTAAGAATTATGCATAATCTTAGAGTATCTGATGAAGTGTAACAAAGCAATCAAAATACTTGTATCACAATCAGTAACACAGAATCAGTGTCTTATGGTGATTTAGAGTGGGCTCTGCAGGCAGACAGACCTGGATTTGCACGTTAGCTCTGTCATTTACTGGCCCCAGGATACAAGTATGTTACTTAATCTATTATGCCCTAGTTTCCTATCTGTATTGTAATGAAATGATTCCTATAATTACAACAATGCCTGTATTAATGTAATACAGTTTAGATAAGCAAGGTAGTAATGTGGGTATGAATGATTCCTAGCTAATACCAAAGGTACATTCTCTTTATGCTTTCATTTATAAACGGTTTCTCCCCTTAATGGGTATGGCATTTTATAATTTATTTTTTATGTAATGGCCATGATCTCCTATTTAAATGTACTTTATGCTCTAGTATAATCAAGTTACCAAATCTAATATAAAATGTTCCCAGGGGAAAGGAAATGAAGCATTTCAAAAGGATCTCTATAATATACCACATGGGATATATCCAGAACCTTATAGAAATCAATGGATCTAAAACATCAGAGAAAAGATAATTATTTATTATTTTTCTATTTCTATTTTAAGAAGAAAAATTAATCTTTTACTTTATTTTTACTTTAAAAAGAACAAGCCATTCATTGATCAAACTTTGTATATCTTTATCACTTACCATTTTTAGTAATCTCAGGGTCTCCCTCTAATTAACTAAAAACCCTAGACATCTAGAGCTTTCTGTTGTATTTATTCCTCCCTTTGAACAATGCTCCACATTAACTGGGAAGAAGATTGAGGAAGATTTATATTTGAAGGGTTATGCTTCCTCTCCTTTTTAATTTTAGGTTTTGGATTTAAAACTGTTAATCTAGAAGGAAGCAGCTCAGGAGGTTATTTTAACTGTATCTTTTTGAATTTCCATAGGTGTGGAAGTCATTACAAGAATTGACTTATAATTTAAAGTAGATGTAACTTCATTAGTGTCTGAGGACTTAAGCTTTTCTTCCTTCATATCTCCTAAATCTAAGCCACAGACTACTTTTGGAGTTATTGTTGGTCGCAGTATTCTGTGTGGAAATGTGAACACTGGAAAAATACGTGAGGAAATATAAATTATTTATACTGAGAAATTTTAATTACCATAATACAAGCTATGCATTTCAATACATCTAATATTTTAAAATTCTTTTGTAACATAAATTCACTCTGGCTTATAAGTGTTGTAGAATTTCAGAAATTTCTTTGTGATGAAATTCTAAAAATAATTTATTTTTTATGTAATGTATTTTTTATAATTTATTTTTTGTGTAATGACCATGATCTCCTACCTAAGATGTACTTTATACTCTATTATAACCAAGTTACCAAGTTTAGTGTAAAGTCATCTGTACATTTTTACTTAATGTTATTTAAGAGTTATGTACAGGTGACTTTACACCAAACTTTACGAGTAATCCGTTAATCTACTGGAAGTATGAAACAAAGACAATGGGCATTGGCATCCGAAAGAACTGGGTTCGTATCCTAGCTTGGCAGTGTTGAAAAATAAACATCAACAGAAAAAAATGTTCTATTTTAGAATTAGAAACTGTCAGGAGCATTTTTATTTAGTTTAAACAGTTGTAAACAACTGCCAGTAGGGAGAAAGAGTTTCTGAAAGTACTCTAAGATTTTGAATAAATATCATCTGTAGAAAGGAAAATCTTATGAGTTCATTGTAAGTGATTGCATCTAAATTATTGTGTTAGTGTTCTAGGGCTGTCATAACAAAGTACCACAAGTTACTGGGTGACTCAAAACAGTAGAAATTTATTGTTTTATATTTCCAGATGCTAGAAGTCCAAAATCAACTTGTCAGCAGGGCTGTGCTCCCTCTGAAACCTGTAAGGGAGCATCCTTCCTTGCTCTTCCTAGCTTCTGAGGGTTTGTTGGCAATCTTCTGGTGTTCCTAGGATTGCAGCCGTAGCATTTCGGTTTTTGCCTCCATTATCACATGGCACTGTCTCCTTTTGTGTCTGTCTTCACATAGTCTTCTCTCTTCTTATAATGACACCAGTCTGTTGTATTAAGGGCCCACCTACTCCAGTATGACCTTGCCTTAACTAGTTACATCTGCAATGACCATGTTTTCCAATAAGGTCACATTTGGAGGTATTGGCGGTTGGGACTTCAACATATCTTTTTGGATACAGTTCAACCCATAACAGTGATTAACTGCATGTACTTAGCAGTAAGCACAGTTTGTGATCTTTCACTGTGTTCTATGTTAGCTGTGTCTTCACTTTGCATAGTTTGCATAGTCTTTCACAAAACTTGACTTCTATCTACATACATAGAAGTTAATGTTTTGATGGGTCATGGTAGTCTCTAATAAAAGTTGACAAAGAAGCCTCTTTAGTAATGGTAAGAAACACATTACATTGAATGGCAAGTGGAATTTAGGGTAGATAATACATGTAGTGCAGTGAGTCTTGAGACCTTCCTAACATGATTTAATTAGCAGATTGTTTAGTGCCTTGGGAAGTAAATATGTTGTCTCAGCTTTTAAATCACTTTTTAAATAGAAGGGATTTATAACCTGTGGAAATTAAATAGAGTAACCACAGGCAGTAGGGTTTACTTAGTTTCTCTTATATTAGATTGACTTCTGTTTTTTGAAATACATTTCTGAGATGTATTTTACATGAAAAGTTATATATATCCAAAGTGTACCATTTGACGAAAATGGACATAGGCTGGGCTAAAAGCCTTTAGGCTTGGTAGGCACAGTGCCAAGGACCCACACAATACTTCTAGAGTCCCGTAAAAATGATTTAATTTTTAAAAAAATCATATAAAAATGAACTTTTAGGCTGAAGAAAATGTTTTAATCTATGATATTAGTGCATTCATCTTTATACCAACACCAACACAGTTGTAAAATGCTATATGAATTTTAAATACTTTTTGGAGGGAGGGGCCCATGAAGGCAAAGAAGTATCTAGAGCCCATGAAAATCATAATGTGATCCTTGATATATGGCTAAATCTATGAAACTATCACTGCATCAAGCTAACATCTCTATCACCCCCAGAGGCTTTACTGTGCCCTTGGTAATTCTTCCCTTGCCTCTCCCATTTGGCCCTGTCATGGCTATGCCTCCTACTATTGTAGATTTGGTTACATGTTCAGGAATTTTATATAAATGGAATCATAGTGTGTGTAATCTTTTTTTTGTGGGGGGTTGGATCTAGCTTCTTCCATGTATCATGATTATGAATTCACTTATGTTGCATATATGAAAAATTTATTCTTTTAATTGCTGAGTAATAGTCACAATTATATGGCTGTATTGTAATTTGTTTATCCAGTCACCTATCAATGGACATTTGGATTGTTTTTAGTTTTTGGCTGTTACAAATAAAGCTACTGTGAATGTTTATTTGGATATATAAACATTCACAGACTTTTTATGGTCATATATTTTTTATTTCTGCTGAGTAGATATCTAGGAGTGAAATGACTGGATCAATTGGTAGCTTTTCAAAAAAACTGTCTTTTTATAATATGTTAAATCTTTTCTCTACTTGAACACATGAAGTACTATTATAAGTATTTTAGTGTTTTCTAATGTTTATGTGAGGTCTACATCTGTTTCAATTGTTTCCCCCGCCCCCCCCAGCATTATGGGTCTTTTTTCCCTGCTTTTTGCATGCCTGATAATTTTTGATTGAGTGTCAGTCATTGTAAATTTCACCTTGTTGAGTGCTGGATATTTTTATATTTCTGTAAATATTCTCGAGTTTTGTTCTGGGATGTGATTAAGTTTGTCGGAATTAGTCTGATCTGTCTTTTCAGATTTGTTCGATGGGATCAGAGCACTGTTTAGGACGGATTATTCCCTACACTGAGGCAGAATCCTTCTGAGCACTTTACCCCATGAATTATGAGGATTTCTGGTGTGATTGGTGGGAGCAGACACTCTTCTCAGCCCTGTGTGAATACTAGATGTGGTTCTTCAGTCCTTTTGGATGGCTTTTCCCTGGCCTTGGTAGTTACTTCACACACATGTGCTGATCACTACTTTGCTGAATATTCAAACACAACTCTGAAAATTCCTGAGCCACACTTTCTGTACAGCTTTCATTTTCTGGTATTCTGTGCTGTGAACTCTAACCGACTTGGTCTCCCTGGACTCTCCATGTCCTCAGTCAGGGAGTTTGTGTGCTCAGCGTGGGAATCTGTCAGACTCTACTAGGTTTGATTTCCCTCTGGAAAAGCAACCAACTGGCTTGGTTGCTTTCTCAAAGTGTAGTATGCTGGAGCAATTGTAGGGCCCATCTCATTTTTGCCATTTCTGTGGATCTCTATCTTTCATTGACTGATATTCAGTATCTTAAACAGTCCCATTTTGTCCATTAAAAAAATTATATCAAATGAGAGAGTATATCCAGTTTCTGTTACTCCCATCTTGTCTGGAAGTGAAAGTTCAGATAGCCTTCTCAAAGGGAGACTGACATTTCTAATTTCATAACTTCCTTTCTCAACAGGAGAATTATATTATTCATTCTGTTGCATTGAGATTTTATGTGGCCCTAGGATGTTATATTTCAGTTCTGTGGAACAAAATTGAAAACATATATATGAAGCACCTGTAACAGTGTCTCGCATTTGTCAGGTCTTGCTGAAGTAGTTTTCTTTTCCATTTTAGTTTTTATAAATTGCAGTCTCATATGGAATTTCATTTAGTTTTCTGTTTAATTTTGACCAGTTGAGAAGCCATCATTATTTTGATAGTTTTATATTCTCCTGTACATTTCATTGCTTAAGTGTAAAAGTATGGAAAGTTTCTTACTGATAATTCAATGCAATGAAAATTTAATACAAAATTTTATAATGTTTATTTTTAACTCACCATTACCAACACTTCATATTGTTTTGAGGAAGTTACAGGTATGAATTTATAATATTAAAAATACTTTATAATTATATTTTACAAATGTTATTATGAAGATTTACATGGTTGCTTTATTTTTGTCAAAAAACAAAAGTGTAGCTATTAAGAACTTCCTCTTACTGGGCATTTGTTGAGTACTTACCCTGTGCCTCGTCCTGGATTTTTGTTTCAGATTTTGCTATGAACTTTACTTATCCATCTTAAGTCTTGTAATCTATTATGCTCTTCTTTACCTACAGCTAGTCATGCTGCTTCTCTTTTACTGATGCTGAATGCAACTTTTACTTTATTACCTCATTTTTGTTTTTAATTTCTTGAGCAGTTTTTTCATAGGTATACTCTTTTATTACATTATGTAGATTGTAAAATTATCTGTGGAAGAGATAAGTTTGTTTTCTAATTTTATACCCGTGAAGAACTTGCTACTGTGGTTATCAAGTAGGCATTCAACAAATGCTTAATGGTGAGTGAAATGATTGCTTCATAATATACACAATTTTCATGCAAATTAATTGTAATTGTTGATTTATTACCAAGAGGTACCATAGTATGTGCCTTACATTTAAAAAATTTTTGAAATTAAGTGCCATTTCTTCAGTAACTAATTAAAAATAAACTATTTGAATGACAGGCTTTCCATGGTGATATTATGTGTATTTTTATAGCTGATTAATGGTAGTCGATTTCACTATGTGTGACTATTTATGTTCAAATACAAATTAAACACTTTCAATTTTGGGAATGATTTCTTTCTCTTCTAAGGGACACTAAGAGTTTTTGAGATATAAGTTAGGCTTCTTATTCATCTTCGTGCATCATAGCTGAAAAACTTTAAGGGGTCGTACTTCTCCCCAACCTTCAAGTTGTAAAATATTTTACCTTTGTTATGGCCTTAAACAGGAGGAGATATAGCTTGATAGAATGGAAATACTTTGAAGTCAGAAAGTTACAATATCTATAGAATTTTGTAGTTATGAACTCGTGTTAAAATTTGTTTTTAATTCCTTTGCAATTCAGGGCATATGATTCTTAATAGTGTGATTTCCTTTGTTAACTCTCAGGTCAGATACAGAGGCTGATGGAATAAGTCCATTTATCTAACTTCTGACAAAAACTTAAGACATTGTTAATTTCCTTCTTTTTCTCTCTCAAAATGCTTTTTTGTTCACATCTATTGATATTTCGGTCTTTTTCATATCCAATTTTAAGCTGAAGAGAGATGCATATAGATAAATACCAAGTGTAATTAACTTAAGAATAAACTTTGGAATAGATAATAGAATAATGACCTATTGAAAAAGATTGTATGAATTTACTATTGTAGATTAATTTTACTAGTTTTGTTGTTGTTTGTGTTTTCTTGTTGTGTTGACAGGGTTGCTTTAGACACTCTTGCTGCATTGCTAAAATCAAGTAAGTTTTTAAATACTAGAAATACTAGATACTATTTTTCTGAGAATTCTATTTACTATGTTAAAGAATCTAGAAATGTAGATTTAGACTATAGTTATAAAGCTGGTTTATAATATTCTAATGTCAAAATTGACTTTTCCACCATAGTGTAGTTGATGTGCATCATAACTAATGCCATATTATGTCGATTGAGCTATAATTTATTTAGTACATTTATATAATTTAGTCAAGCACATTGATTGCCTATTTGTAAGTAATTTAGATAAACATAAAGATCCATTAGTAGAGGAAAAGAGGTATCATTTTTTGAAAGTGAAGCTAACATGTACGGAACTTTTACTATAAGAAATATCTTAAACAACTATCTCTGATTTTATGAATAACTTAGAACCCTACAAATTTTATATCTACCATAAATGTGAGTTTATATAATATTCAGAAAATATGACAATATAAATTTACAGTCTGATTCATTTACAAAATAAAGCACTGTTTTCACACTTGAAGCATTGAAGTAGATATGTCTTATGCTTTTGGAGAGTAATCGTCTGTACTTATATATGTTTTTTCTCTCCAGTATACTTAATATCTTCATTTTAAATATTTTTTTAATGGCACTTCAGGGGTCGATCAGCTGATTAAATTAACACTTTGTTTAATCACAATAACATTTGGTCTTAACAATCTGTGTTGGCTGGGTGGCTTTTATATGTTCCCACCCCACTCCACCCTCCACAAGTGAGACATAAGTAACATACAGCTCATCAATAACTGTCTTTTAGCAGTAAGGCAAACTTGCCCTTATGTTTGAATTACCAGAATTCTGATTTTTTAAAAATTGTAGCAAATAATGAATTGATTGAAAATCTAATATTTGGTAATGATTTATAAAATTAAAAAAAATTAACTTAGTTATTAGTACCAAATAATAGAATTCTCATTTGACAATTTTATTTTTCAAACAAAGTATATGACACTCAGATTAGTTGTGCAGCTTTATTTTCATTTATGATGTGGTAAGCTTTAGACCAAGATCACAATATGTGGATTAATTTCAGAAGACATTTTTGGCCTTGCTTTGATGGGTCCTGACTTTGTGGTTCAAACTGTAAAAAGATTAATTTTTAATATGGGCACATACTTTTGATTTGGAGTAGATTAGAATAGCTATTAAAACTAAACTTTTATATAGCTTACTAATTTTCAGGATCACTGATGGCAAAGTCATTAGTTCTAAGCTAGTAAAAGCTAAAACTCGTAAGTTTCAAGTATTTTATAGAAATCAATTAATACATGATGACTGTAATTTAGTATTTTCAGTTTTTAGTAGTAGTCTCCTTTTTATTCCCTCCCTTTTTCAAACAAGTGTGGTGGGGCAAACATACCTGTTTATTCCATCAGAATAAAAAAATAGTAACTGAAAGGAGAATGACTTCAGTTAATATTTAGTATATTTTCAGATGACACGGCACTAAATAGGATGAAAATTTAATGATGGAAAATAATATTTAGTGGCACACTACATATTTTTAAACAAATCATGGCATTTTGGTGCATTCTCATTTATTTTTCAAAATGTTTTTGGTTTCGGGGAAAGGAGCGATCATTTTCTTTAAAAGGATAAATTAGACTTTAGAGGGAAGAAGAGACATAGGCTAATTGGGAGTTTGGTATCCTGAATACATGAATAAAGTTTTATTTGTGCTCAGTGCTGGTTGCATGTAGCTCTGTTCACTTCCTTTAAGGGGCACTCAGCACCTGTACTTGAATTACCGGCAAGTTTCGTACTTGATCTTTCATAAAGAATTTTAATATTTCTCATAAATACTGTTTAGACTATTAGGAGTTGTGGTGGAAACACACAAGGTTTGTAATAGGAATTACAATGATCATGATGGCTTTTAACAAAATCACATTCCCAGCCAGTAAACTAAAGGCTGACTTCCAGCTTGTGTAAACAAAGTGTGTATTTATTTAAAATGTATGAAGCTTTACTTGGTCAAAACAATGAAAGTGATTTTGTAAATAGCCACAGCCTTAGTATACTGGCTATTCTAGACATAATAGAAGGTTTAAAGCCTTCACATAAGAAATCTTTTCCCTAGCTCTAGTAAGTATCTTCTGCCTGTCTAATGTCAGAACATAGTTCTGAAGGGAATTAATAAGTTTATCTCAGTGTTATGTTTTAGGTTTGTACTAGCACATTTAGAAACTGTAGTAATTCAGGCAACTAAAATCAGTGGAGCCTTACTATAGCATTATCTTAGTGTCCATATTGTGAACCTAGTGGTTATTTTGTAGGTAAATTTGAGATTAAGAAGACATTAGTATTTCCTTTAATTAAACAACCTCAGATGGGTGTTGAACATTATCTTGTGCTCCTTATAATTAACCCAGCAGAGTAGCGTTGGGTGACTTGGCATATTGCTCTGATATGATTGCCTTGTCACTATCTTAGTAAAATGCACTCTATGGTTAATAATTTTAAATACAAATAAAATAATAAAATTAAGGCAAGCACATGGATTTATTTGTTAATTCTACTCCAATAAACTTGAGTTTTATAAAAACCTTTAGTGTAGTTGCTATTACAATAAAAATCAAATGATCAGAAAGCACTATTTTCTAATCATGTAATGCTCCTTACATTTCATTTACTAAAAAACCTATGTAAGTATTTTAAAATTAGCATTGTTATAGTATGAATATTTATATAATTGTGGAGTAATTGGAGCAATTAATTTTAGTGGAAACATAAAGTTTGCAATAGAAGCTACGATTCAATAGGGTTTATTTCAGTGGGAACATAAAGTTTATAATAGAAATTATAAAAATGATAGTGTCTTCTAAAAATCACATTCACATCTAGTAAATAGAAAGCGTATACATTTCATTTGGTGTAATGAAAATCATTATATTCATAAATTTAAAAATACATGAAGCTTTTGTTAGTAAACAAAAGCATTTAAAAAGGTATTCCTCTAATTTTAGTAAAGACATTTTGATATTTATAAATTGTGAAACAGTACACAGGCAGGTTTTGGAAGAGATTGCAATTTGCTTCCTGGAACTTCATATTTATTTTGTTAGAAAAAATTTAAATATGTGGTTGTCATTTGTTTTGGAAAAAAAGAATCATAAGCATCCATCCCAATATTGAGGTAATATTTGAAATTTGATTTATTCTACCATTCTCTCTTGTCATTTAAAAAGTATTCTTTCTCAATTTTCTTTTGTTAAAGAAACAAATGCCAGGAGAGCTGTAGACAGAGGATATGTCCAAGTGCTTTTAACAATTTATGTAGATTGGCACCGCCATGATAATCGGCATAGAAACATGCTCATTCGAAAAGGAATTTTACAGAGTTTAAAAAGTGTTACAAACATCAAGTTGGGAAGAAAAGCATTTATTGATGCCAATGGGATGAAAATTCTGTATAACACTTCGCAAGTGAGTTATTTTCTTATTATCCTGATTACATACTAATGATATAATTTGGTTGTTAAGAAAACTGAATTAATGTACAAATACTCAGAAACATATACACATGATAAATACATTTTTTGAAAATCTTAAAACCAAAAGACACAACTATTTCTCACATGTGACCTCAGGCTGAGTTGGAGGAAATGGTTAGTGCGCAGTTCTGCAATGTGAGATTTTCTTCCAAAGGCAAAAGGAAGAAGTAGAAATTCATCCACTTAGCAAGAGGAGATTCCATGAAGCCATGCTTTCTAGGATGCATAGTTGGCTGTACTCAGTGTTGTATGCCCCTTTGATGAGGTATCTGTGGATCCTTTATAGTCTATAGAGCAGTTCTGTTGTCTGTGAGTGTTCTGCATGTTTTCCTGCTGGATAGAGGCTTTTTTGAATAGAGAATGTACAAAAATGACACCTGGAACTAGGAATGCTAGATCTGCCAGCTGTTTTAAGCATGAACATTTTTGACAATATATTTAGTGAGATCCTTTCTAGCATCTGTGTTGACTGTCAGCCATGGGGGATGGGGATGTTGCAGTGCAACCCTCAGCCCCCCTTTTTTTTGTTTTAAAGAAAACTATATTATTAGAAAGAAATCCGTGTTTTTGAAAATATCAGCCAGTTATCTTGGTTATGCACTCCTGGTCTTACACATGATCAACACAATCTATTTTTTATATGACAAGAGTTAAGATACCTGAAAACATATTTTATGTTTACCTTAGTTTTTTGTTTTCTAGATCAATCATATGCACTTGTTTTTACTTTTCCTAGTACAGACAGCGATGGATAGTTTATATATGAGAAAGAGTTAGGTGACTGGTTTATGCCACTTAACATTTCTGAGCCTTAATTTCTCATTTGTTTTGACAGGTCAGATGTGAAAACGTATATGGAAACTTTTACAGTATATCAAAGCACCATCTAAATGTCAATTGTCACTAATAATACTGTTGTTATATGACAGTTTCATATCCTGTGTTCCTTAACCCTTCTCAAGACTAGATACCAGGACAGCAAGTCAGACTCTTCAAATGTTATATTGTGATATTCAGGCTATCCTTTTATAAGGTGAATAGCCAACTTACGAGAGGTGTTATTGCACCTCTCTGAGAAAGGTTCTGTCAAATGCAATTTTTTCTTTAAAAATATCTTACACCTTTTAAGTTTTCTTGCTTAATCCCTTTTCCCATTTTTCCCTTAAATTGTCTTTTTTATTTTATGTCCTAGGCTTGCTAAGTGTCCCTCACATTACTCCAAAGATGATACTGATTGCTGCTTACAATATTTAAGGAAAAGTTCTTCTCAATTTGCCACATGGGGTTCTTATTTACAGATAGATAATTCTGAATTGTAAAGCTATTTTGTAACTATTCTGTGTTAAAATATTGGTTTTTGAGATACGTATTTCTAGAAAATTATTAATGAATTACTTTCTGAAGTAAAGTCAAATTGGTTCGGTTATTCATCAAAAAAATTATTTCTTCTTCTTTTTTTTTTTTTAAAAACAGGAATGTCTGGCAGTCAGGACTCTTGATCCTCTTGTCAATACCTCCAGTCTGATAATGAGGAAGTGTTTCCCAAAAAATCGACTGCCACTCCCGACGATTAAAAGTTCTTTTCATTTCCAGTTGCCTGTTATTCCTGTGACTGGTCCTGTGGCTCAGCTCTACAGCTTACCCCCTGAAGGTAGGATCACAGGGTCACGGCTGCTTTTTGTGGGTTCTTAGAACTGTGTGACCCTGTCATTTTTCTTTTAACTAATGTCTAACTCCTCAGCAAAGGAAGGCCTTAAGGAACATGATACACATTCACATTTTATTTTACTTAAGTATTTCTTTAAACTGGAGCTAGTAATTAAGTGAAGTAGTGTGGGATGTGTTGTATATATGTAAATGTGAATAGTGAAATAATTAGGCTTCATATAGGAACATTATTTGTTAGCTTATGTACTTTTTTTGTTTGTTTTTGAGACAGAGTCTTGCTCTGTTACCCAGGCTGGAGTGCAGTTGCGCGATCTCGGCTTATTGCAACTTCCTCCTCCTGGGTTCAAGCAATTTTCCTGCCTCAGCCTCCTGAGTAGCCAGGATCACAGGTGTATGCCACCACTCCTGGGTAATTTTTGTATTTTTAGTAGAGATGAGTTTTCATCATGTTAGCCAGGCTACTCTCAAACTCCTGACCTCAAGTGATGTGCCTGCCTCGGTCTTCCAAAGTGCTGGGATTACAGCCATGAGCCACACACCTCACCCAACTTATGTACATTTTTAAAGTATATAAACATTAAATGTTTAGGTATTATGTTTGGGTTTATATCTGTAGCTTTTACGTGAAATTTTTTTCTTAAAAAAATCTAATCACTAAAATTACTACAGTTTTGTGCTTAACAAAATCTTGCACATGACTTACTTGGATGAAAATTTGAAATTATCTGAGGTAGGCTGTTTGTCATTTTCCATATAATACTGTAGGTATATAGTAGAGGAAGTTAGAGTTTAAGTTTATTTATATGGGAAAGAAGAATTTATTTGATAACATCTACCCAAGTGAAAAAGAGAAAGTAGTCCCGGCTTTTAATATAAGTTTCATAATATTATCAGTTGATCACTTTTTTGAAAAAAAAATTAAAGTTTCTTTATACGTAAAAACTCTTATTTGAAGCAAGCGTTTTAAAAGAATTTTCAAGTAATTGTATTAGATTCATTATCTTTGATATAAATTTATTAATGGTATATGTCATACGGTACACTCTTAGGATTTTATTTTTAAAATATGAAATTATTAAAACACAAGTTGACATAAAATATCAAAATGGATTATTCAGAAACCCCCTTTAAAATATTTGAAAGTCTAAGGCTAAGTCTAGGACGTATGAGTAAGAAAACTTAATTAAAAACAATGGTCCAATACCCTTTTTCCCATTCCATTTGAAATTACCAACAGACTTTTATAGGAGAAAATCTGTACTAAATCTGTAAACTAGGTACGAGGGGCATGGAACAAACATAGAACATGCAAGAAATGTGGTGGAGCTCTAAGTAAATGCAGGAACAGCATTAAGCCTCCATCCCCTCTTCTAGAAATGCATTATCTTCAGCTAAAGTTGAGGTGCATTAGCAGCTAATTTGGAGGGACATTCAGGGAGCAGTTGGAATCCCTTTCTCTCCTATATCTCAACGTAAGTTTATGGGGGTTAAGTGGTGGTTCTAACTGGTGGAAAGCTGGTGAGGCTTCCCTATGTTATGGCCAGAAGTAACACCAGGAAGGAGGTAGGATATGCCCCAGTAGGTTCTTTATTTAGTGTCTGGATTGATGGATAGAGAAAGTATAGTTAATTCACCAAACATGGGAACAAATGAAAAGCTGTATTTTTCTTTTGGTTCCTTTTATCGCTGCTTCTCAGACCAGTGCATCGCTGGACTAGAAATGCATATTTATATTGACTGACAAGCCTCCGTGATTCAGATGAAAGAAGAGGATTCTAATAGCAACTGTATAGGCACTAGGAAAATACCTTCATTCTGTTTTCCATTATTCCTTTCTCCTTCTCTTTCTTTCTTCCCCGACACCCCCTGTGTTGCCCAGGCTGGTCTTGAACTCCTGAGCTCAAGAGATCCTCCAACTTCAGCCTCCCAAGTAGCCAGGACTACAGGCCCTTGCCACTGCTTTGTTTTCCATTATTTTCTCACATACCAGCCTTCATTACATGTCTCACAGTCTTTATTATTATTTACCTTCCTCAGCTGGAATGTAAGTTCACAAGGATAAAAGTTTAAGACTAAGGATAGGTCTAAACTCTTTCACAGCATTTCTAACCCCAAATATGTGACTTTGGCTCACACCAACCAGTTCTCCCTATCTCCGGACACCAGCTGGGTGTTCTATAATTCAGTTCAATTCTGACACTGAACACTTGGAGTTAATACAGACTCCACCGGTTAAGGGTTTAGTCCCACAGGACTGCCCCGACTTCAGGTAACAATTACAAGTTTGGACTACTTGTATTTCTGACCTACTGGTAATAAAGTTGATGGGGTTGGGAGTTTCCATGAACTGTTCCTCAAGTTTGATAATTTGCTAGAATGGCTCATAGAACTCAGGAACACTTTACTTTTGGTTATGGGTTTATTATAAAGGATGCAACTTGAGAGCAGCCAAATGGAAATGATGCATAGAACCAGGTATAAGAGAAGGGGTGTGGGGCTTCCATGCCCTCTCCAGGCATGCCACCTTCCCAGAACCATGATGTGTTTACCAACCCCGAAACTCTGAGCTTTTACACCTTTGTTCAGGGTTTTTATGGGGTTCCATTACATAAGCATGCTTGCTGAAATATAAGGCTATTTTTGATAAAACCAGTTTCCAGCTCCTCTCTCCCCAGAGTTGAGGAGTGTGACTGAAGTTCCAACTGTCTAATCATGCCTTGATCTTTCTAGTGACCACCAGTCTGTATCCTGAAGCTCTCAAGGGGCTCACCAAAAGTCATATCATTAAAACAAAAGACATTTCTTTACCTTAGAAATTCCAAGGGATTTAGCAGCTGTGTGCCAGGAACCTGGGACAAAGATCAAATATATATTACAAAAGGGCTGTTTTTTTTTTTTTTTCATTTTATCTTCAGCATCCATTAGATTGTGTGGGATATAATAAGTGTATTTAATATTTGTTGAATGAATGAATGTAGCTGGCCTTGATACTTACTCTCATGAATGTTAAATGCTGTATCTATGGAGATTTGAAGGAAAGGGTTTTAACTCAAGATTTCTGAACCTTTATTAGTTGTCACTAAGGTGACATATTCTTAGGTATGTTTGGGTACGGAAGTATATTATCCAGGTACGCCCTTCCTGAAGTAATTATGTGAAATATTATATGATGATGTCAAGAATGTAGACATGACCTAAGAGTTTTTATATGAAACATTATAATCTGTTAACTATGTAGTAATAAATTGTCATTATAGTATTATTAAATATATCAAGTAATTATTGGCAAAAGGTACATAATACAATTATTATAAAGTGGATATTTACATAAATAAGCTAAAATTTATATCAATAGATTTCCTAATATTATACTGTTCTGGAATTTCTAAAATGAAAATTATACAAATAGTCCAAATATATATTCTTCAAATGTAAAAGTAACATCTGGAACAGAGATCTTTAAACAGGAGCCCATTGAACCATAGAAATACATGGGTGGCCTTTGGAGACTATGGATACTTTGAAAATTGATGTAAATTTATAGGGATCCATCATGCTGTGTAAAAGTGAGGAAATTTCAAAGATGCATCCCCAGAGCACTACATGCTAAGCAAGGACAAGCAAATCAGTTTCATTAATAAGTCTCAATGGATGAAATACTCCCATTAAAGGAAAGAGACTCCCAGATTGGGTTAAAAAACAAAATCCAACTAGCTGGTACATATGAAGTCTCTTAAGATAGCAGGGTAGAAAGCTTCAAAGTAAACAGATTAGCAAATATGTGTCATTCGCTAGCCCTAAAGAGGTGAGAAGGAAAGTATTATCATGATATAAAACAAAAGTACAGAATAAAAATTGTTAAAACAAGGCAGTGAAGATTATTTTATGCAAGCTACATGTGCAAATACTAAATGTAAATACAACCATAATCATTTGAATAGCAGAGAGACATTGATAGAAACATTGTTGGTGGTTGATTTTAATATGCCTCTACATTCTTGGCAAAGTAAATAGAGGTGGTTAAATCAATCTAAAAAGCTGTTAAAGATAACTCCTGTGAATACATTTGAATACACAATTGACCCTAAAACAACTTGGGAATTAGCAGTGTCGACTTTGTGCAGTTGAAAATTTGCATAGAACTTTTGACCCCTCCAAAACTTAACTGCTAGTAACCTGGTGAGCCAAAACCTTACTGATAACATAAATAGTGCATATTTTGTATGTTACATGTATTATATTCTGTACAATAAAGTAAGCTAGACAAAATAATATGTTATTTAAAAAGTCATAAGGAAAAACATTTACTATGCATTAAGTGAAAGTGGTTTTCATAAAGGTTTACATTCTTGTCTACACATTGATTAGATTGAGGAGGATAAGGAAGAGAAGGGGTTGGTTTTGCTATCTGAGGAGTGACAGAGGCAGAAGAAAATCTGTGTATTAATGGACCTGCACAGTTCAAACTTACATTGTTCAAGGGTCACTGTGTGATTGAAATGGACAATATTTTAGGAAAATATGATTACTAATGATGACTTAAATAGTAAAAAACTTAAAATTGAAAAAATCAAGTTTATTTAGTGAAGACACCAAATGCTGATGACTTCAGAGATTAGTTTTCCCAAACTTTCAAGAAGTTTTCCTACGCTTCATTTTCCAGAGCATAGAAAAGAAGTTTTCCTATGCTTTATTATCCAGAGCATTAGACTAGTCTAACTAGTCTAATGACTCATTCCTTCTAACGACTAATTCACATAGTTGTAGTATAATTTAGCTAACTATTTTCCTACTGATAGACATTTAAGTTGTTTCCTGTATTTCTGTTTTTACTATAAGTAAGCCAAGGACATTTTGAAAGTCAGAATTTTGATTTATATTCCCTGGTTTTAATTTGATTGGCTATAATAATTAATATTGTTAATTATTGGTACTGGTATAATGAATGGATCTTTGAAATAGCAGAGAAGGTCTCAGACATGCTAAGCTATCTTACATTTCAGATCTGCAGTATAAATCCAAAGGAAAACATCATCTTAAGGAAAATATTTGAAAGGTTTGACTAAAAATTAAAAACATGTTTTCTCTCTGATGCTGAACTGCATTTTCTCCTCTCCCTATCCAAGCAGTCATTTTTCCTATTTGCAATAGGCTTTTCTTAGTTCAATCCCTTTCTTTTTTCCTAGGAGTTATTTTTTTCCTTCTCTTCTTCCAAATGTCAGTTCTTTGCTTGTTTAACCATGACCAACTGCTGTGTGAATAATAGGCCCAACTTACCATGTGAAATATGAGTGCTTATTTTTTGCTATCTGTTTGTAAGAATTTGAGGTGATTTGCTTTTAAATTTGTATTTGTATTAGTTAGGGTGGACTAAGCTGCTGTTACAAAGAGACCCAGTAGCACAGGCCCTCAAGCAACAGCAGTAATAACCATTTGTGTAACACATACTCTTTGCCTGGCACTTTACTTATATTAACTCCTCTAATGCTCACAAAAACACTGTGAGTAGTTATCTCCATTTTATAGACAAAGAAATGAAGATACAAAGGATTTATGTAACTTGCTCAAAATCAAACAGCTAGTAAGTTAGGGAGCTAGGATTTGAATTCAGGTATTCTGTCTCTAGAACCCTGTGCTGTCCTGCTACAAGATAGAATTTTTTTCTCTCACATAGCCATTCAGAAGATTGACAGTTGGTCTTAGGCAGTAGACCTCTACTGGGATCATCAAAGGAAATAGGTTGTTTTTATTGTGTTTTTAACCATCTCCTATGGTTTCCTCATGTGGAAGATGAGAATGGAAAAAAATGGAGAGTATAATTTTCTTTTTAAAGAATGCGACCTAGAATTTGTATTCATCACTTTGCCTTATTTACCATTGGCCCAAAATATGGTTATGACTACTGCAAGGGAGTCTGGAATCTCCATAGCTAAAACTCAGGGTCTCAATTACTAAAAGGAAGGGGAGGAGAACAAATACTAAGGGGGACAGTTAATAATCACTGCAGTAAGTCACATTGGAAATGGAGGTCAAAAAGAGTTTGGAAAAATAGCTTTTAAAAATATTTTCTGCTTTGTTTAAAAGCATTATTTATATGAGAATTCTCCAAGTACTCTTTGACTCTTCATCCATTGTCTCTCCTATATCCACTGTCCCATGTCTTTTTACATTCTGCTCCCTGAGATACCCTTTTTTCATTCCTATTTCTGCTATAATGGTCTAGACACATTTGTTTTTTTTTTTTCTCCTATTGGTTGGTCGCTTTCCATCCATGTGCTCTCTCTCTCACCTCTTAACATTGAATTAGGCCATTCACCTCTTGGAAATCCTTACTGCTTATCCTCTTCATGTTGAAAGTCAGAACTACTTGGCCTACTGTATTACATACTTCATCTTTTAATTCTTTATTTTCCTTTCAGTACTTTTATAAGCATCCTCTTCATCCTAGTCATACTTTTTGTTAATTTCTAAAGATACCATTTCGCTTCCTCATTTTAGTATTATTTCCTCTTCTTAAAAGCCACACTCACCCACCATTACATTCACATAGAAATCTGTTTTACTTTCTACAAGATACTGTTTAAATATCACCTGTTCTGTGAAGTGGTCAGCATCAATCCCTTGGCTCCAAGAAGTTTGCAATTAGTTACTGCATTACTCATTTTCCCATAGCATTTTGGAGTTTATGCCTTCATTAGTGTTTCTCTTTGGTATTTTAATTACATATTTACTCCTTTCTGCTCTTTAACCTCATGAGCTACCTGAAGGAAGAGACTATATTTACACCAAGCTTGTCCAACATGCTGCTCATGGGCCACATATGACCTAGGGTGGCTTTGAATGTGGCCCAACACAGATTCATAAACTTTCTTTTTTTTTTTTTTGAGACGGAGTTTCGCTCTGGTTACCCAGGCTGGAGTGCATTGGTACTATCTTGGCTCACCGCAACCTCCGCCTCCTGGGTTCAGGCAATTCTCCTGCCTCAGCCTCCTGAGTAGCTGGGATTACAGGCACGCGCCACTGTGCCCAGCTAATTTTTTGTATTTTTAGTAGAGATGGGGTTTCACCATGTTGACCAGGGTGGTCTCGATCTCTTGACCTCGTGATCCACCCCCCTCGGCCTCCCAAAGTGCTGGGATAACAGGCGTGAGCCACCGCGATTCATAAACTTTCTAAAACAATGAGATTGTGTGTGTGTGTGTTTAAAGCTCACCAACTATTGTTGGTATTAGTGTATTTTATGTGTGGCCCAAGACAATTATTTCTCTTCCAGTGTGGCCCAGGGAAACCAAAAGATTGACAACCCTGATTTATACACTTTTTGAAAAAATTCCGAGCACATAGCACAGTATGTGGCACATGACCGTTAATGAAACATATAGGTACAGGGGGTCAATTATAAAGGGATGAAGTGAGTCATCAAAATTTATAATAACTAGAAAACAGGATGTTTCATTCAGTCTGTTGCAGTGTAAGACATTTTTCATTTTTAAAAACTGATAACAGTAAAAAAAATTCATCTTTACAGTGCTTTCCAGAGTTTAAAGCACTTTCTCATGTTATCTCATGGGTTTGTCAACAGCTGGGACAGCCTTAGAGACATTTTAAATAAGAAATCTCATTTACTTTTTCTTTGGTGATTGATATACTTTATATAAGTCACATTCTACCGTTGGCTATGCATGTTGTAGAATGCTTACCTTTGACCTACTTATAGCACATTTTGTGTCATAGTGGATGACGTAGTAGATGAAAGTGATGACAACGATGATATTGATGTAGAAGCTGAAAATGAAACTGAGAATGAAGATGACCTAGATCAAAATTTTAAGGTTAGTATAAATTTCTGTAATTAGTTAGCTTTATAAATGTTATACTACAGTTGTAAAACAAAAATTGGGTAAATAAATATATATGTAATTGTAGGTTTTACTTTGTCCCCATCTTTTTACCATGGATGACTATGCAATTAAAGGAGTAGATGATGTTGGTTTAAATCCACTGATCTGAAAAGGACCTTAAAGTAACTTATTTTCATTCTCTGACCACAAAGATTTTATCTAACCTTTCTGACTTAGATTTTGAAATCTATGAAATTGATCTGAAACTCTGTTGCAGCAACTTACTTCGAAATGCATTATTATCCTTTGTCAGCAATCTTTTGGGGATACAGAAATATAATGGATTCATTTTTGTGAGAATTAGTGTTTGCATAATGATTCTTAGGTTTCAGTTAATTGGACTTCCGGAAGTGCAAAAAGTGTCATTGAGAAAATATGAAATTATTGTCATATTACATAAGATGTTAAATAAAGGAGGCAGGTAAGTTTTCAGAGTTTCATTGTACCTCTGGAAGCCTAGAAAGTCTATATTTTGCTTTATTTATTGATAGAGAGGACCACTTTAGCATCTGTAGAAAAATGTTGTCTTTTGTTAGCTGTTAGCTTATTTCTGTTTTTTTTTGTGGGGAAGGAGGGATTAATTTGACTCTTGCCTGTTAGGACCATTTTTGTCTTGCAAAACTGTATCAAAATTGGGGTACACTGAGTGTTTGACTCACTTTGGAAATATTGTAAGATTTCTGTCTTAATAGATACAGAACCAATTTTATAACCAGCAAACATGATCACCAAAGCTCTGGTGAAACTGTCAAGTTAGCTAATCTGAACTACATCTGTGTCCTGGCATCAGGTATTGCCCTTAATTATCTCATTACTTTAGTCTCCTATACAGATTTCTTTGTCTTATAACATTGACATCTTTGGAAAATGTAGTTGTTAGCTCGCATTATTCTCTAGGATATCAGTGATTGCTCACATTTTCCCTACTTTATCTTAACACAGCATTTACAGTAATAAGAAAAAAATACGTTGTCTTATTGAACACTTAACTGTGCTAGTTGAAACTCTTTACATATATATAGTACCCATTAGATCCTCATAACAACCCTATGAGGTTAAGTTGTATAAGTACATAGAAAACAGAGGAAGGGAGAGATTCTCAGTCTAGTTTAGAAGAGGTGGAGACAGGATTCAGAAAGCAGTCTAGTGGAATGTCCACTGTCTTTACTACTATACTGTACTAAAATATATTTTTTTCTCCAAAAACTGTAGAATTATTGGCTTTTTGAGACTGCTGAGCTTTATTATCTTTTTCTTTGCTACTACTTACTGCCTGCCTCTTATTCTCATTGGCTTTACATTTAGATGTTACTTAAGTTTTCCTTTTTTTATCTGAATCCTACTTCATCCTTCAGGTGAACTGCTACATTGTAGTGGGGATATTATTTATTTGTCTTCTCTGATGGTTATAAATATTTTTCCTGTGATCCCATTTTCTTTGCCCCAGATTTTTTAGTTCAGAGCATTTATAGAAACTGGTAGCTTCTAGAAGATGCATCTCCAGATAGCCACAACTTGTCCATATTATAAGTTTCAGTGTATTCTTTTTTCTGTCCTTAGCTTTAGCAGTGCTTTTAAGAAGGGTAGCAGGATGTTGTTGTTGTTTTTTTTTTTCCAAATGAGTCTGTAAGTAGTTCTTCACTACTGTTTTTTTCTCAAACCAAAACACAACATTCTCTACTGTCAAGCTTTTAAAGTGTTGTAGTTTTCTTTCCTAATTATGCCTATTTTACAGCTAACGTCTTTTTTTCTTTGCTCCAAATAGGAACAAAGATACGTATCTTGTTCCTCTGAGCCACTGTGTAAGGCTGTATTTTCACAAAATAATATCAAATATTGAACTAGTATGTTTAGACAAAATATCTTTGTAAATTATTTTTTATTTTAGAAACATTCTATTAGATGTTAAACAAGAAAGTTACTACATTATTGGTTCATAAATGTATAAAGAGATTAAATTACATATTCATGTAATAATACAATAATGATATGGTAGTTAATATGAAAATATTTAAATAAAATCAATCTCTATTACTCATGGCAATGAGGAAAATCTTTTTCATTGGCCATGTAAATAATAGCTACATTCCTGAATATAAAATAATAAGAAATACATAGTATATTTTTCCTTTTAAACTAGTAGTTAATATGTGTTGTAAGATACATGTATATAAAGTTTTTTAAGGATGGAAACATAGTAAAATAAACTTGTAGATTAGGCTGAAAAGTAGCTTACTCAAAGTAAATACAAAATTAAAAATTAGTACCAATTGAAAATTAATAAATGGTATTATTATCTCTCTTTGGCCATAAAGAAGGTAATAATGAGTTTGTGTGAGACCAGAGTCATTCAGGATCCTAGAAAATAGCTTGAATAGTAGATAAGCTGGCATTTGCCCTCATATCATGGGATTCATTAGCTTTTCTCTAAAGAGCATATAGAACACATTGATCCGGATACATATCTTGTTTCTCTGAGGACATATTTTCCTTTGAATCCACCCTCTTTTTTCCTAGAGGGACATGGAAATCATTTCTGACTCTTGTTCCACTCCTAACCTCTCCCTACCCCACACCCCCCACTGAAAACAGAGTGAATGGTAACACTGAGTTTTTCTAAATTTCCCTTCCGCACTCTAAGAGTGTTTGATCGTTGTTAATATGTATTGGGGCACTACGTCATGCTGGCTGACAGTGTGGTGCTTCAGAATCACTCTAACTGATTTTTATCCTGGCTCCTATCTTTGCAAGATGTATAATTTTCAGCAAATGACTTAACCTCTCTGTACTTCATTTTCTTTTTCAGTTAAATGGGGGTAATTTCATAGTGTTCTTATGCAGAATAAATTAGATAATGTATGTAAAATGCTTAGCATAGTTCTTCATTTATTTTCAGTGCTTAATAAATGTTAGCTGTTTTATTATCACCATCATCATATGGTTTTCAATTTAGTCTTCTTAAGTTTTACTGCCCTTTGATATGAACTGCCATTTAAAATGATGGAAATTAGGGGGAATGAGGAGAACATACTGGAGTCTTGATCTTTACACAAGTTTTTCTGTTTTGAGTAGCCCAAATACTCTGTTATATTAGAGTAACCATGACAAAAACAAAAGTACCCAACAATACATCAACCCCAAAACAGCAAGCAAATCTGAATTTAAGATAAAGTTAATGCAGCATTTATTCAGTAATTATTCAATTACATTTAATTAATAACTTGGAACATTTTAAATCTAAAATGTATTCTGTAATATTTTAAAAGTTTGTTTTAACTGGTAACCTGCTCTTTTTATCATTTCAGAATGATGATATTGAAACAGATATTAACAAACTAAAACCCCAGCAAGAACTGGGACGAACAATAGAGGATCTAAAAATGTATGAACACCTTTTCCCTGAGCTTGTTGATGATTTTCAGGTATAAATATAGAAAATTCAGCATCTTAACGGATTTTAATAAACAGTTATTTTTTTCTCCCTTAGGCCGATAATTACTGTTTTTATTTTCTTTCCATTTCTAAAATGTGAAACTACCCTTGCTTTTCTGAATGACATTGAATAATTATGTCAACATCATGAGCTGCAGTTAAGTAATTGTAAAATGAAGGGAGATGGACTAGCTCTTAAATTTTTTGTCCCTTTAGTTTTTTCCCATCACTTTAATGGACATAGTTTTTATTGAGCCTGGATTACACAACAAGTCAGGTTGATCAAATTGTTGGCAATTAGCTGGCTTTTATGATGGCTCCTTTGATAAGTCTGTGAAATCGCTCAGTATCTTAAAGTGTCAAACAAAGAGTTTGAACTAGATAATCTCAAAGATTTGTTTAGCCCTTCCTTTGTTCCCTAAATTTAGTATACTTAATTTCTAGCTGCTTAAAGAAAAATACTTTGTTGTGAAGTTACAGGTGAGACATAAGAAATATTTGGCAGCAGGTGCGATGGCTCATGCCTATAATCCCAGCACTTTGGGAGGCCAAAGTGGGTAGCTTACTTGAGGTCAGGAGTTCGAGACCAACCTGACCAACTTGGTGAAACCCTATTTATACTAAAAATAAGAAAATTAGCTGGGCCTGATGACACACATCTGTAGTTACAGTTACTCAGAGGCTGAGGCAGCAGAATTGCTTGAACCTGGGAGCCTGGGTGATAGAGCAGACTCCATCTAAAAAGAAAAAAAAGAAATGTTTATCACCTAGAGTTTACATTTCATAATTCTAATCATTCAGGTTTCAGCTTGGGAACTTAGGAGTCTTAGATGCTGTAAAGATGCAGCAACCATCCACCTTATGCAGCCCTCCCCACCACCCCCTGCTCTGATGTCTTGCTATTCCCCCTAAATTTGCGGTGCGTTGGAAGGTACTTTGAAATCAGGGGTAATGGAAGGCAGGAATGAAGGAGAAGGTATTTTTCAAAAGAAAAAAAAAAGAAGAAGGTGGGAAGAGACATTTGGGAAAGGGTACAGGTTGATAATCTTCCATTCAACTTATAAGTTATCCATGAGCTCTTTTAACACATTTGTGCCTAGCTAAGAACGACTTGAAACTACCAGCAATAACAAATACTGCTAAATCAAGGCAGAAGAATACTGTGGAAGGGGTTTGAGGAGGAAATCAATTATTGTGTGAAGAAATCACCTATTTCTTCTGTACATTCTACTTTTTATGTATGTATGAGAAATATATGCAGTAGGTGCCCCTTATCCATGGGAGATAGGTTCCAAGATCCCCAGTCGATACCTGAAACCAAACCATTTATATACCATGTTTTTTTGAACTGATAACAGATTGCTGCTAAGTCAATGATAGGTCGGTAGCATAGATAGTATGGATATGTTGGACAAAGGGTGATTGATGTCCTGGGTGGGATGGGCCATGATGCTATGAAATTATATCATGCTACTTGGAATGGAGCACTCTTTAAAACTTATGAATTGTTTATTTCTGTGCTTTTCCATTTAATACTTCAGACTGTGATTAACCTCTAGTAACAAACCATGGAAATCAAAACCTTGGTTAAGTGGGCACTACTGTCATGTGATTACAAATTGTAGTTTTGATTTGGGAATAGGAAAAAGTAACCTAATATGGGTGTCAAGTCCAGGACTTTGATTCTCATTCTTTCACAAGCGAGTTTTTTTTCTTTTAGATTGTGATGAGTTGTTCTTGCATCCTATGTTTATATTTTCTGTTTTCTAATCATAGTCGATCACCCAGAATAGGCTAACCTTGATGATTTCCTATATGACACTTTATGAACAGCTGGCGAACTTGTCCATTAGTTTGGCTGCTCCTAGAGTAGTTTCCTGCTTTTGGTCTGACTAGGTGGGGCCAGGGTCAGATTGTAAAGATAAAGACAGGTCTGAGTGTTAGCGCTTCTCACTAAGTTACTCCTTTTTATTTTCTTTAAGTGAAAGATGCTACTTCAGATATTTCAAGTAGCACACATTTATTAATGCATTGTTTATTCTGCTGTGAAGCTTTATATAGAGTAGCTCTATTTCTATAGCCTATGTAATGGGAAATAACATATTGTCTTATTTACATAACCAAAAAAATATTTCTCAGGTAGTTGTTTTGCCACTTGATTATCTTTGTCATTTTTAAGTTTCAAAGGAATGCATTATTTGATACTTCAGGCTCAGTTTTTTGAAGTGTGTATTTAAATTATAGGCAGCAGTATATAAGTGACATGCTTTCAAGGATTAAGAAGATTGGTTGGTTCCAGATAGGATGTGTTAAAAAGAATTTTCTTCAGCCCATCTTTGTATCAATTTCTTGTAGATCATAGGATAATAAACATAAATGAAGTTAATTTCAATTATGACTTTTCCCACTTTCGTTTGTATATTATTTTTAGCATCAACCATTAATGTTTGATTACTTTATGTGTTTGTTTCAAACTTAAACACCACCCACTTTGTTTCCAGATATGTTAAGGCCACTGTTTCCATATTTGTTAAGGCCACTATTCAGTAGCCAGATGGAAGGAAAATGAATGCCTTTCAAAGACAATGTGTGGTATTATTAAAGTAATTAAGAACATCCTTTGTGAAGTGACTTTAGCATGCTTTTAAAGCTATCTTTATTTATTTGTAGTGACAATTACAGTTTTATTTTCTCTTGTTTCTTGATGGCCGAATATTGGAAGTGTCAAAAATCTGCATTTTCATAGTTCTTGTATTCAGAGGTCTGTGGTAGCATGGTGACATTTACCATGTGGACTTTTGTTATATTTTGTTTTTCTTTCTTGTTTCCCTCTTGTTAAATTTGATTTTAAATTTTGGTCCGAGTTATTCATGGAAAAAGTTTAAAGAGTCAAATAGTTTTATATAGATAGTCCCTTCCCACAGCTAAATCCTGGAATTACTTTTTATATGTTTTTGAAGTTAATCCTGATATTTCTAAATAATATGTTTAAAGTGCTGTGTCTTTACTTTTGCTTCTTTTATTCTTTTTTCTTTTTTTGCATTGTCATCTTAAGGTAGACATCCAGTAATTTTCAGCCTTTTTCTTTTTGTGGTTGCGTGCGTGTGTGTGTGTATGCATGCATAGATAGGGTATAAATTTCCCTGTAATTACTGTTTTTGCTGCATCTTATAAGCAATAATTTTGATGTTTAATATTTTCATTATCTTTACTCTTAAACCTACGTTTTTTTCTTTGATTCATTGGTTTTTACAAAAAGATAATTTTAAAAATTATCCTTTTTCTTGCTTTCATTTGGATTATCTTTCTCTGATTCCACTCTTTCCATATTACTAGTTTGAAAATTGTATATACAGTCTTTTTATTTTTATCAACTTTTTTGAGGTGTAATTTACATAAACTGTATTCATTTAAAGTATTAGAGTATTGACAAATACGCAAACATTCTAGTTACTCTGGATTTTCTAACATATTTGTCAAAGTCTAAAGTAAATCAGGACCTTCCTTTCCTCTTTCCCTCAGTGACAAATGGAAACTTAAGTACTTTAACTAACCTGTGCTCAGCCTAACAGTAGTTCTTTCCTTATTGGTTGGTAGTATTTTATTGTGTGAATATGCCATAATTTATTTGTTGATGAGTGTTGGAATGTCTGAAGTTTTAGACTTCACTGGACTTTAATATGAGTAAAGTTGATAACATTTTGTGCACAAAGCTTTTTGGGGAAGCTGGATATTGTGGCTCACACCTGTAATCCCAGCACTTTGGAAAGCTGAGGCGGGTGGATCACCTGAGTCAGGAGTTCAAGTCCATTCTGGACAACATGGTGAAACCCTGTGTCTACTAAAAATACAAAAAATTAGCTGGGCATGGTGGCAAGGACCTGTAATACCAGCTAATCAGGAGGCTGAGGCAGGAGAATCGCTTGAATCAGGGAGTTGGAGGTTGCAGTGAGTCGAGATCATGCCACTGCACTCCAGCCTGGTGACAGAGCAAGACCCTGTCTCAAAAAAATAAAAAATAAAAAATCAACTGGGTATTTAATTTTGTTTTATTTTGGATTTTTAGAAAGCTTACAAAATGTGTAATCAGCCTTTAATTTTTTTGTTTTCTATATTTTATTTCTTTGAACATATTAAATATGGCCATTTCTTGGTCTGACATTCTTGTAGGTCTTTTTCAATATCTAGTGTTTCCTTTGGTTCTTTTTCCTTCTACCTTGTTGAGTTGTATGTTTAGGTTTCGTTTCTTCTTTATAATTTTGTGTGTGGAAATTGTGTGGAAACTCCAGAAGTTGTTGCCTTTGAGAGTCACCATTATGGATTGAATTTCTCCTTAAGGGCATTTGGCTCACCAATATGATATGAATTCAGGCTACAAATCCATGTGATTTGATGGCTGGCTTTAGTACCAATTTGTGAGCAGTGATACTTTTCACCATTTTAGAGCTAAGGTTTAAAGTTTAAGACAGTTGACTTTTCTTTTTATGTTTTTTTTTTTTTCTTTTGATTTTTGTGGTGGGAGTATTTCTAGGACATATATATTGAAGATGTAGTTCTGGAGTTTCATCTTTTTGAGAGAAAAATCAGTTCAGGGTTTTTCTCCTGGCCTTCATAGTCTTTGAGATGGAAAAATCTGTACCCAAGGTCACCTGGTTTAGCAAATGTGTTCAAAGTGAAAGCTAGCGACATTCTTTAGCTTATCACGTAGGAATCCCTTCTTCATTTGATACTTTGCCTTTATCCTTGCTTTCTTATCCACTTAATGACATACCTGAAATATTTTAATATATGTAACAATTGTAAATGGTTCTGTGGGGTGGATACTTAGCCTACCATGTTTCCTACGAAATGTGGTTTTTTTTTTTTTCTTTAAGACAGAGTCTGGTTCTGTCACCCAGGCTGGAGTGCAGTGGTATGAATCTTGGCTCACTGCAACCTCCTCCCAGGTTCAAGCTATTTTTCTGCCTCAGCCTCCCAAGTAGCTGCGATT